CCTCGACTCTTCGGATCAGGGTATTTAAAGGCTCCTTGCGCAAAGAATGGAAATAGATACGGTCAATGTGCTTGAGAGTAATTCGTCTCCTCAGAGGACTACTTCCCCTTCAAGTTTGTTCGAAATTCTTCGTCTATTTTGCGGTAATCCTAGTTCTGTACAGGGACTCGGGCAGTTCGGCGCGGGGGTGCAGACATTTGGCACTTTTGCTATTTCCCATCGAAGTCTCAATCCATTTCATATGCCTTCTCGTGAGCTTACAACTGTTGACAGGTTCTACCATGGTGGTTCGACGAGCTTACTTCTGCTTCACAAGAGTCAATAGGTTTCCACCAAAGAGGGACTTGCAAGTCGAAAAAGCGAAGGTGCAAAATGTCCCCCCCATCGCCGAAGGCGCCCAACGAACGCTTCAATTACCCCAAGTTATTAGTGCCTTCTTTGGTTTACTGATCGACAGATTTCCGTTTGCACCTTAACTACTTCAACTCCGTAGGTGCCCTTTTCAGTTCATATTGTTTTGTTCATGAGCTCGCATATTAAACTTATAAGAGTGGGATGTGAGCTTTAAGTTCCAAGCATTCAAATGCAGACGCCCCACGCCCAGATTATTCGTGCGAATTAATTTCTTTCTTCGCCGCAACAATTCAGAAGCAGAATTACCATTCCAAGGAGAGAATCACTAGGATATCGATATATTTGAAGATGAAATTATAATTATAATAAATTGAGGAGCTAATTCAGGTTTTTCAACACTTCCTTGCATTCATTGTAATACCCTCTGAAGATCTCTTCTTTTTTCCCCCCCCTCCCCCCCTCCCAAAAAAATTTTTTAATTCAGAAGCAGAATTACCATTCCAAGGAGAGAATCGCTAGGTTATCGATATATTTGAAGATGAAATTATAATAAATTGAGGAGCGAATTCGGGTTTTCCAACACTTCCTTGCATTCATTGTAATACCTTCTGAAGAAGGTTCTACTCCTAGCAATGGACCACTTATGCTCCTTTGAAAATGGTTGTTCGTTCCAACCTCACCGTTATACTCTCAGTGGTTTACCACATATTGAGAGCAACAGCACTCCGCCTATTTGTTGGCCGGAATAATCGTATGGTAAACGACGTTCAACTCGTGTTTCGGTTATGATTGAGTCGGTGGTGTTGCGCAAGCATCCACAAGTGATAGATGCGTCTCCGGGGGACAAATCCCTCCCTATTAGCATGTTAATTGCTTGCTGATTCGGCAAGTTCCCGCCCATATCCTCGTCTCTTATTGGTCTATCAGAAGCGCCGCACAAGCTCAAAAATAATTCTCACCACCGCGATGTACACTCTATTCCGGAAGTGTTACGGTAGACAAATCTACTGATTCATCTCACCTGTCTCTCGATAGCTGTCTTGCAAGAGCTGCCCTTCAGTGACTTGCTTCGTCTATGTGATAAGCATTTAGCTTTAGCCTTTCCGTTAGCTTTTTCAGTGAGTACATGTTCTCAAATGTAAATGTGCAAGACGTATGGAATGAATACTGGCAGAAGCAGCTCAGCCTGACGGGCTCGCCATTCAATTGTAAGTGTCGAATTCTCAATGCCTACATAATTTAGAGCACCCCCGATCGCATTTGTGTCGTTGGAAGCTGAAAAAAGCTCGTAGATTCGGAGGCGCATGAATTCACTGCTGACTAGAACTGCTAGATTTCTAGCACTAGAAGTACAGCTTCAGATAGCGCAGAAAGCGCTATTGGGCTTAATAAATTAAACATGTGAAACCTCAAATGGTAACTCTCGTTGTATTTATCAGCACTGGTTATTCGACCGGAAACGACGGAGGGACCGAGTGGCTCGTCCAGGAGCTCGAACAGTACGCCAGAAGCAGTCACTTTCGCCGCGCAAGGTAAGCAACTTATAGTATAAGTCTAACTCACTTCTACTTTGGAGACTTCATTCACAGTTGCAGAGCTATCGCCCTCTTGTGAATCGGCCAGTGCAAAACGTCGACGGACCCGCACTAATTTCTCAGGATGGCAACTGGAGGAATTAGAAAGCGCATTTGAGGTATACCTGAAATAATCCAGTGGGACTCTATATGGATCCGTAGGAACTCCAACAGCTCCCACTGGAAGTCTGAGTTTCCGTAAAACCACTGGACTATTTCGAGCTTTCAAATCCCTCATTGACTTGTTTCATGTCGATCATATTCTCTACGTTTTGGTCGTGGTCGCTATGTTCCAGCTTTTCGTCACCAATCCACCTATCCTCTCTTTTTCCATACTTCTCATCAGAAATTCTCTTATCCCGACATTGTTCCACAATACTGCCAATCTTCAAAAAGCTGTCTGCCCTTCGCCTTTTCCAACCGCTTCTATGCAAAAACACTTATTTTCTTACATGCTCTGTGCTCTGATGCGCTTTTGTGCCCTCTGAGGACTATGGTCTTTGAGGCCGGCGAACTTAACCATAGGAATCTTCTAATCAAGTAGTGAGCAGGGAGCCACTAACGCATCCCAAGCTACCGTATACATCATCTGGCCGTAGAATCCATATTAGGTTGATCGACGTCTGATCGCCTAAAAAAAGATTTTGCCATTTGGCCGTGCGGACCGGCACTTCGTACTATGAGGTCCGCAAGCAAGGTCTGGGTCGTACTAGATTGCTGGGAGGGAGGGTCGAACTTGGCTCTTTAAAAACCAGACTGCACTATCTTCGTATGCCCCTCGCCCACTGCCACTCCCCCCTCCCACTCGTGCACATCCCTTACTTCCTACATGCCTCGGCCTCCACCCTCCGCATCTCGTTGTCCGTACCCCGCTCGCGCAACTACCACTCCCATCACTCACCCCCGCCCCCCCACTCCACACCTACGCCGCCACCCGGCTCGCGCGTTGCGGCATGACCTGCAGCCGCTTCCCCCTCGCAGCTCCCGGCGCCGCCTTAACCGGCTCGCCGACACAGCGTTGTTTGGTTGGGAACCAAGTGCCTGAAAGCGTGTTTTTACGGCAAAGACTCTGAGACGTGGTTGAAAACTTCGGAAATTTCGCGGCAAGACGGTAGACGGGACGGGTATGGAGAGAGCTTGGGCCCGGGAGGACAGAAGCGGATCGCACCAGGACTGTCTATTTTGCTGAATGTTCCGCAGTAGCAGGACGTGCCCTGATCTGGCTCATTGTGAGGAATTGACAATGTCAGGATCACTGGAAAAAATGTGGAAATTTCGAGGGGGTAAAGGAAATTCAGGAACCTCTTCATCACTGTCACCTTCCTTCCTACTGATGGCAAAACTGTGAGCACAAGGACGAGAACTCTGGTGAATTGCGGGACGTTACGCTGCTCTGTTGTGCTTTGCGAGAGGTCATACCCTTGACTCTATTTCGGAGAGGTCACACTGAAATAGATATTTTGCACCTACCGCTGATTTTGCACTGTTCGAGGAGAGAAATAATGTCAGTGAGTTTCGAGAACCCAAGCAGGGAGGAACATAAAGCTGAGTTGCCGGCATCCCGCTGCGGCTGAGCAACAACACCAAAGCTGTTCTAAAGGCCAGACCGATCTCAAAGGGCAGTAAATTGAGAGTTGGCCCTTGAACGGTGTATTTGTCATCGCACGAGTATTCGATCCGCTAATCAGTAGAATACCTGAGCAAAACGGAGTGCCTTCTGTGGAACAATATGTAGTATTGTCCAGAACTTTATTTTGATTCATGAAATGCTACTCAATTTGTCATCATTCAAAAGATAGCCTATTACTCTAAAAGCTATGTCATTTAAGGCCAGTCACTATCCGGATGTGTTCATGAGAGAAGCGCTCGCTTTACGGCTAGATCTTCTGGAAAGTCGAGTACAGGTTGGTTGCATTGCTGATTTTGCCTTGTTCGACATAATTTCTACAAATTGGGTATGGCCACCAGTTCTTTTAATAATAGTCCTTTTAGAATTGAGAATGTGCGAGCCCTCGCTGAGAGTCGCTACCATAGGCCATAAGTTTACTTCTTCGCCTTGCAAATATAATAGGCAGCCAGTCTCGAGGGAGCGTTTATCTGCGCTTATTGCTGGAAATCTCTCCGGACCGCCCGAATTAGCTGAGACGTCAAAACAGTGATAGATTCAGAAACGGGGAAAACTGGCGCGCACGGACATCTACCGTAATCGACTTACTTCCATGGGGACTTGCAGCCGTCAGAGTTTGTTTATCATTTTTGAGAACCAATGAAAATGGCTTGCCACCATGGAACTAATCCATCGCAAGGTCGCGCCGCTGAGAATGCCAACTACTGTATTGGTTTCGGACTTTTGCGAGAGGTTTAAAGACACACAACGCGATTACAATTCCTTGGTTCTGGGGCCCAGGAATGATTTGATATTTTTCAATTAATTATTCAATTAATTATTATTCAATTAAATAAACAGTGAAAAAGGGGTGCAAAACTATTGATGACCTCTAAATGAGGCCCTGGCGACATTCGAGACAGTAAGACACCCTGCGCTGGACACAGAAAAGCAAAACAAACTATGAGAGAACAGGAATACGAAGCGATAAAGTAGGATCTTACATAGTATGAACGCAGCACGTCACATCTCCGTTCACGGATATAGGGCTGCTTACACACTTCGTGCCCACTAGGTGAGCCAACCTTTAAAAACATTCGGCTTATGACGACCATGGCGCCCTCGTCACTAACTGTGGAGCCGTAAAGTAGACGGTATCTGAGATTGCGTACCAAACTGCTTGCACAAGGAAGCAATTGTCCCCATCAGTTGATCGCAGAATGTTTTAAATCGGAGTCTAGCAAATAAAGTTATAAAGCTCGAAATCCCTGACATGCGGTAGGTGTGCCCGGCGCAGTTCAGCGACGGGGGGGGGGGCACAGCCATTTTTGCCCAACTTTTCGTACGTCTCCCCCACCGCACCGCCCTCCGCCCGCGCACACTCACTCCTACCGACAGCTCTCTCTCTGGACAGGCCTCGCAGCTCTCTCACACGGATGACTTGGTCTTGGCTCCAGCTTCCCACAGTGCAAAGGTTTCGCCAGAGTGAGACTTGTAAACCAGAACTAAGGAAGTAATGATATTATAAAATGCCCCTCCCCCGTCCCGGACAGCGCCCAGATTGGCCCATACTTCAAACTAAACGTGGCATGACTGTGCTTTTGGTGAGATAGTCATGTCTTTGTCCAACATAGAACAAAATAACGGTTGTCCCAAATTGAAATATGCAACGAGTAACCCATTCTATGCCATGCTCCGATCCCCGCCTACTCTGTCTCGGGGATAAGGAGTGTTACGCTCCCAATCACATTAAATTTCATTTGAGTTCAGTGCCAAATGCTTCGCGTTAAGGCCCTCGACCGTCTGCCTTGGATGTTCCCACAGGGCTGTTTCTGCTCCTTGCCCTTGCTATTATACGTTCATTAGATTGGAAGGAATCCTTCCAACTCTTTCGCAATACACTGCTCTACCAAACACCTTGAACGCCAACATCTACACGCCACTGACCTGCACAGATCTCGAAGATCGTTTCTCGAAGGCCTCTGTACATAAGCCTATACTAAACCACCCATCGCCCGCACGCGTTCTCAGCAGCACAAAAGTTTCTAAATCATTTGCACTCCTCCTCATCACTTATTATCTTTGAATTGCAGCAACCGCAGCGCATCCCTGCAGACAGCAGACGCAAGCCAAGCAGCGCCCTATGTGTATCCACAGATGTATCTTAGTCATGCCGCCACAACTGCTGGGGCCAGTAACTAGCACGAAATCTGCAGCGTCGTCTTAATCCAAAGTGCCGGACAACGTAGGGTCTGCCACACACGAGCGGTCATCGTGTACGTTCCTTAGAACAGTATGTTGGCACCATTTTTAAGCTGCAGCTATTGGACAGCCACAACCCACTATCCCGGTAGGAAGTTTATCACGCTGTACATCTTATGGGTTGCAAGTAACTGACAATGATAGGAGATTGGACGTAGCTGAGCTTCTGTTCTTGTGGCAGTAATATGGATGGTATTAGGTTGGTCGAAAAGTCCTGCGACACTTTGACCAATTTTTCGGACTAAATTTTCAGTCACTAAAAGACATCTCCAATCGACAAGGTTATCACCACTAAGGACTAGGACTAGTGCCCTTCTTTTGCACAGCTTCTCATTTCCATTCTTCTAGAACTACGGCAACTATGATAAGAAGAAGAGGTGGACCTCATTTTTGAGTAGACGTCGATTTTCGGAATTTTTGCCTTCTTAAGGATGAGGTAGGGATCAAAAAGGTAGTAGTTAGAGACTGCTAACTTTGATGAATAAGCTGGGTATGGTCGCATTCTCAGATCAAGATCCACGATCTTTTGGTGTGGCCTGATCTTAACATGCGGTCTTCGCAATGCCGAGCGGCTAGAGAAAAATTGAGTATTTTTGAAGAATTCAAGCGTGACGTCATCCATGTTGTGAGGTTGGTTAGAGAGGACTGTAGTCCTTACCGTTATGCTAGTATCCAGAGATACCGCTTTGAAGTCCCACCAATAACCTACTGAAATCTTTATCCCATGCACATCTGCTTTTGGCTGTGCAATCTACTTTTCTTTGAGAGATCCTGCGAGGAACATGTGCAAGATGTACGCAAGGACCCCACCACTCTCTACCAACCACAAGATCTCACAAAAGTTCCTCCAGTGTGTACAAGGAAAAAAAACCCAGTCACGGTCATACGGTATGACTTGTCAGAGGGGTTCAACTCATGGGGCATCCTTCATAAAAATTTTTCCGATAACCGAGACTGCGGAGAAGCATGGCAGTTGTCAGTTAGGTGGAGCCTAGAGAGGTTGCCAACTTACTGGTGGTTACGTTCGGCTGCGCCTCAAGAAGCTTGAGTAAAGGGCCGTCATTCTGTGCTGGTGGCCGACCTATACATTGCCTACTTCCGAGTTGAATAAGTCCAGCCTGGAAGCGCTGATGCAAAAGGAACTCTCTGCTATGGCAAGCGATATCCTTCCTCAAGACAACGTAAGTGTTAGCTTCCTCGACTATGGGGGAGTTGCCCTACAGGAACTCATAATATGGGATAGGTCGAGAAGTACCTCGATCTTTG